CGTCAGACTGTGGGAAACGAGAAGACAGGAATATCCTGGACCGACGTGAAGAACCTAGAAGACCTGGATTTCGCGGATGACTTATGTTTGATGTCACACACACAAAATCGAAGACTTACAAGCGAAAACCGACAAACTGGTCGAAGAAGCAGCCGGCAAAGACAGGACTCCAGGTAAACATAGACAAGACGGAGGTTATGAAAATAACCAACCAACAACAACAGCAGCATCAGCAACATCCAAAGACAATCACCATCAACGGGAGGGATTTGAAAGAGGTTACTTCATTCTCTCACTTGTCTAGGGAGCATTGTCTCAACTACAGGCAGTCGGGACGAACGAGGATGTCAAATCGAGCGAGAATCGGGGAGGGGGGCGAGAAGCACATTCATCAACCTGAAACCAATCTGGAAATCTTCGTCACTCAGCATCAACAACAAAATTTGGATCTTCAATACAAGCGTAGGATTTTGAATACAAACACGTCAAGTCAGTCAGTTCCTCTGCATAGAACGGATCAGAAACTTGGCGGGCGGGTCACAAAGACTATTTCCAACAGGCTAACTCCGACCTTTATCAATAAAACTCTCCTCCCTCTATACTCAAGATCAGATGGCCGGGTCGGAAATAATCATCGACAAGAAACTATGGGAACAAACAAAACAAGAGCCAATCACCCAACAAATATGCAGGAGAAAGTGGGGATGGATTGGACACTCGCTGAGGCTGGAGGCCGCTGGGTGACATCGCGCGCGCGCCAGGCCATTGCTCGAGTGGAACCCGACAAAATGGGAAGCGGCGAGTGGGACGTCAGTGCAAGTGTGACATGGAGGAGATCGTATGAAGAGGAGTTGAAAGAGTATGGACTAACATGGAAGCAGGTGAAAAGCACAGCAGAAGACAGAAGCAATTAGAGACGTGCAGTTGAAGCCCTACGTTCCACTAGGAACCCACAATAATAATAAATAATAACTAAATTTTAAAAAATTCAACTATATTCTATCAGCATAGATCTTGTTTATAGACAGATGTGTTAGGAACGAACTATCACACTTACGTTGTTATCTATAAACACACAGCCATTCATTCCTACCAATTATCCATGTAATATTACCATCTATTATTATTATTGTATCCTTTAGTTCCTAGAGGAACATAGGGCTTCAGCTGCGCACCTCCATTGACTTCGGTTTTTTGACAACTTTTTCACCCTGCTCCAGGTCTGCCCACATGCTTTCATCTCCTCTTCACATGACCTCCTCCAAGTCACCCTTGGACGACCAACTCGCCGCCTCCCTTTCGGGTTCCACTCGAGGGCTTGTCTAGTGATGTCACTTGATGGTTTCCTCAGCGTATGGCCAATCCATCTCCATTTCTTTCTGCCTATTTGTTTCACAATCGGTTCCTGATTGGTTCGCTCCCAGAGATCCCTGTTGCTGATCTTTTCTGGCCATCTGATCTTGAGTATTGAGCGGAGACAGTTGTTAATGAAGGTTTGAAGTTTGTTTGAGATGCTCTTTATGACTCGCCAAGTCTCTGATCCGTATAGTAGCACTGACTTCACATTGGAGTTGAAAATCCGGATCTTATTTTTGATGCTGAATGCTGTTGACCTCCACACAGATTTGAGAGTAATGAAAGCTTGTCTTGCTTTTCCGATTCTGGCTTTGATGTCCTCGTCAGTTCCGCCTGTAGTTGAGACGATGCTTCCCAGGTAGGTGAAGGAGGTTGTTTCTTTCAGGTTCTTCCCATTTATGCTTATTGTGGTCTGTTGTTGCTGTTGATGTTGGCAAGGAATCTTCATCATCTCTGTTTTATCTATGTTCACGTGAAGTCCTATCTTTGATGCTTCTTCTGCCAACTTGTTACTTTTCATTTGCATATCTTCCAGTTTATGGGAAATCAGACATATATCATCGGCGAAATCCAGATCCTCCAAGTCTTTTGTGTCAGTCCATTTTATGCCTGTTCCCTCGTTGGTTGCCGTTGTCTGTCGCATTATCCAATCAATTGCAATCAGGAAGATCATTGGTGATAGTAGACAGCCTTGCCTCACTCCCGTCCTCACTTCGAAGGCTTCCGTAAGTTTCCCGTTGTGGATTACTTGGCATGCAGCATTGTCGTATAACTGTTGGATGAGGTGTATAATTGTCGATGGGACCCCGTAGTAGCGAAGTAGTTTCCAAATGACCTCTCGATCGACGCTGTCGAAGGCCTTTTCAAAGTCGATGAAGTTGAGATAGAGAGGTGACTGCCATTCCAAGCTTTGTTCAATGATGATCCGTAGAGTGGCGATTTGATCAATACATGATTTGTTTCTCCTGAATCCAGCCTGTTCCGGACGAAGTTTTTCATCTAGGGCTTGTTTGATTCTCTCCAGGATGATGCGACTTAGTATCTTGCTTGGAATGGACAGAAGCATAATTCCACGCCAGTTTTTACATTGACTTAAGTCTCCTTTCTTTGGAAGTTTGAATAAGTAACTGTTCTTCCAATCCTCGGGTACTTTGCCCTCTTTCCACACCTTCTCCAGTAGTGGTGTCATCAAGTCCGCTGTTGTCTCTGGGTCTATTTTCAAAGCCTCTGCTGGGATTCCATCTGGTCCCGGTGTTTTCCCAGTTTTAAGCATCTTGATTGCATTCAGGACTTCTGATTTCGTCGGGGGGTCAGTGTTCACTGGTAGTTCTGCTTCCGTTGTTGGTATTGCTGGACGTGTTGTAGGTGGCGGACGATTTAGAAGTCTTTTGAAGTGTTCAACCCAGTGCTTTCTCTGTTCCACCTCTTTGGTGATTGACTTTCCATTGTCGTCCTTTATTGGCTTAATCTGTGTCGAACGTTTGCCCGAAAGGTTCCTAGTTGTTTGGTAGAGTGTGGCGAGGTCTCCTTTGCCTGCAGCTTGTTCTGCTTCGTTTGCCATGGTTTCATAATATTTTCTTTTGTCTTCCCTGGCACTTTTCTTCACTCTTTTGTTCAGTGTATTGTAGCTTGCATTCAGCTCCTGTTTTTGTTGCTCGTCGTAGCACTGGATAATCTTTTGCTTCACTGTCCTTCTCTCTTCTATTAGTTTCCAAGTGTCCGTAGTGAGCCACTGTTTGTCCTGTCTCTTTTTTCTGCCTAGAATTTCTATGCAGGTTTGGCTCCACACCGTTTTCAAGTTGTTCCAGTGCTTTTCAACGCCGACCTCTTCGCTAGTGTTGATTTGTGTCTCGGCTTTGTCCTTTATGCTTGCAATGAAGATGTCCTTTGTAGCCTGGTCCTTCAGCTTTTGAGTGTTGAACTTGGCTTGTGGTCTATCTGCAGCTCCTGATTCCCTGAAAGCTTTTAATTTGATTTGGATTGTCCCTTGTACGAGATAGTGGTCTGAGCCAACGTCTGCTCCTCTTCTTGCTTTTGTGTCCAGTAGGCTGCGCCTCCACTTCCTTGAGATTGAGATGAAGTCGATTTGGTTTTTGGTTTGCCCGTCTGGTGACACCCATGTAGCCTTGTGGATATCTTTGTGCTTGTATACACTGCCACCAATCACCAGTTCGTTGAAGGCGCAGAAGTCGGCGAAGAGTTCTCCGTTTTCATTCATTTCTCCTAGAGCTTCTCTACCCATGATGAGTTCCCTTCCCGTATTGTCTGGTCCCAGTTTGGCGTTCATGTCTCCCATTAGTATTTTCATGTCGCCAGCTGGAGTATTGTCCATTGTTGCCTGTAGTTGCCTGTAGAATTCTTCTTTCTTCTCGAGGTCTGCGTTGTTTGTGGGTGCATAACATTGTATGATTGACACTTTCCTTCCTTTGGAGTTGAACCTGGCGGTCATTATCCTGGACGAAATCGCCTCCCATTGTATCAGGGCTTTCGTTGCCGTTGGTGACATCATGATAGCCACGCCCTCGGTGTGCGTGTGGTTATCTTCTGGGTGACCGGAGTAGATCACTGACTCACCTGTTGACAATTTGGTGAGTCCACTCCCATTCCATCTGCTCTCACATATTCCCAGCACTTGTATTCCGTATCTTTTCATCTCGTTGGCGATCTGGGCAGCTTTTCCAGTCTCGTACATAGTTCGGACGTTCCATGTTCCTACACAGACTTTTTCTTTTGGTGCAAGGAGGTTCATTTTGCTGAAGGTTCTGTAGCAATTTTGTTTACAGGGTGGGGTTGCTAGCCTCACGCCTGAGAAAAGAATGATTACATTAAGTAAAAGTTTAGAGAGAAGCAACTTTTTGGGTTGCTCCCCTCAAAATCAGAAAATAACGGACAAACAATGAGAACAACATCAACAAAGGAAACAGTTCACAGAAAAAAGGGCAAAAAGCGACGACAACTATAAAATAGGACAACATGTAATACAGTATTACCATCTACATTAACATTATTTTATTTATCTTATTAATTTCTTTTTTTTTTTGATATTATTAAAACTTGGCATATGCGAGTCCTCTACATTTGAAACTATGGGCACTGGGTTCGAGCCTCGATGGGAACATCATCACTCACTGAGAAATTTTATTTTATTTTTTTTTTATTTTTGATTTACAGCTTGATTCCACACTGTATTTTCGGTACAAGTATGGAATTTTCAGCATGGATATCGGTAGCCCAAATTTTGCAGGCCGACCATAGATATCAGATGTGCGTCGGTGCGGGCTCGAACCCCGGACCATGTGAATGGTCGGCGAGAGTCCTAACCACTGTGCCACCGACGCACAGGTACATCCAGATGACGAGTCCCAAATAGGGCGAAATGAGCACCCTGGATTCCACTGCTAGTCACCATCCACAAACTGAGTCCTTTACTCTTTAAACATATCAATGATTTTATGGTTGACAGCGGTACTTTGTCTTTTTGTAACTTTCTTACGGTTGATTTTTAAGTATTCAGTAATAGAAAAAAATTCATATATGACTGAAAACTATATTTATGAAATAGTCATATATATTTACAAAAGGAGGCTGTTTCCATTTGAATAGAGATTACTTTTTCACAGGATGTGGACTGTCCTTATTCTTCTTCACTTTTGATTTCTTGGAGGTTTTCAGTTTATTCTTTTTAATATTTTTCGAGACTTGACTCAAGGGCATTCTTTTCTTAGATCTTTTTCTAAAGTGATATGGAATTATATATGTGGAGCATGAAAAACTTACTCAACATTCTTTGAAAGTTTGCGGCTATCTACTGGCGTTGTGAAACGACCCATCGAAGCGTCAGAACTTTGTGCGATTGAGAAAGCACGTGACAATTCAGTTTTGGATGATTGTGATTCAGTCAAAACACCGATAGGAGGGGCTTAATTCAGTAAAGAACATTTTTATGATCATATTGTTATTCCATATAAATAAAAATGAATGCGAGCAAATACATTACAAAAAGTTATTGCCGATTGACTAAAACCACTTTCAGTTGACACATATCGGCAGACCTCAAAGAATCAGGAGCATAAATAGAATGAGGAAATTAACAAACATATGAATGATGAAGAGAATAATCCAATGACGACTTGTGAAACATTTAAGGGCGTGAAAAATACTGAGTGAATGTAACTACGCTGCTGGAAACGAACTTTGATTCATAACACTAACAGTCAACAATTGATTCTTTTAAATTTTGTGTATCTAAGCCAAGAAATATTCACTTATTGAAGTGACTCGAATCAACAACTAAGGATTTCATGGACTGCACCTAATCTGATAACCTCTAACGCACTGTCAATCTTGTCATATTTTTTACATCATAACAGTAGATAGTAAAATAAGCAATCAACCAGCAGAAAGGAATGAATCACACTAAACTCACCATTTGATTGATAAGTAGTCATGTGACATAAGTCGTCACAGAGCAGGTGAATGTTTTGTATCCATCCTGAGATTTCGTCAGCAATTGCTTCACTAAGCCTGAAGCAACCACCCAAATGAGTGGGATGGTTAAGGAGTTCAATCATTTCATTCCCTATTCTTAATATAAAGGACCACTGCAGACTATTTTTATGGTTACGTATCACATTTAATGGGAGTGAACAAGACATCAGACATTTTAGGACTATATCAAAATTGATAGGACCTCAAAATAACATGCAGAGTACTCAAGGATGCACAATGTACTTATTTTACTTTCTTATAAAATAGAAACGCAAGGATTGCAGTTTGGTCTTACTAGTCCCGATATTGAGATATATATGATACGTTTTCGAATTAATTCATATAACCAGTACGAATCCTACCACAGGAGTATGATATGCACACAGACATTATGAATAAAATTTACTGATGACATTTCGAGCACAATTTATCGCTCATAATCACATAAAGGTACTCACAACTTTCTTCCTTCGTTTGTATGCGTGAGTGAAAACTGATTAGACATATGAATAAAATCGATATGAAACAAAGCACATCCGGAAATAATATCAGTGTTATCAATAAGATATAATAGGATGGGAAATAAAGCGAGTGTTGTTAGTCAATAAGATACTTTTTTGGTAAAATAAATAACTTCTTGGAGGGTTATAATGTGAATTGAATACATTTTAACACTACTTATTATCCCCTGATTTGACTGGTAATAATATCTTCCATATCTCTGGTATGTGTGTTATGTGTAGACTCGATGAGCAAGGAATCACTGATCTGTCTCTTTCTCTCCACCTACCTATATTACTTTTTAGAATATCGAATCTGTCCCATCCCATAATATGGTTATGTGTTAAAGCTTGCAATGCGATTGCTGAGTTAGATTGCAAAATAAAACGAACGAAAAGGTAGACTCCACACTAGAGTTTAAAAAAAGCTAATGCATTTTCATAGATATTTAGACTTTAATTCATCTCATCCCTTATCTGTAAAGACAGGCTTAGTTAATTGTCTAACAAACAAAGTAATAGCACTTAGTAGTACAAAAAAAGACAGATGATTAAATGAAACAGATAGAGGGAGCGTCGGTGTTAAATAACTATCCTATAAAATTACAAAGATCAAATGCGAAGTAAAAATAATATTAACAAAGAACGTAAGGCATCTACAGTGTTGCTATATAAGGAGGGGATATCTGAGACCTTAAGTAGGATTCTCAATGCAGCAAGAATTAGTGTCATTTAAACCTACAAATTCATTCAGAGACAAGCTCTGTGGACTAAAGGACCCTGTCGGTCCACCCAATTAAACAAAATAATATAATTTACAAAATACCTTGCAATGCTTGTGAGGTCAACTACATAGGTCAAACTAGTAGATCGGAAGTAGTCCGATTATTAGAACATAAGAATCTAGTGAAGGTTAGCACCATTGACCTCTTGAAGATAAGTAATTTACAAACAACTCAGCAATCGCATTGCAAGCTTTAACACATAACCATATTATGGGATGGGACAGATTCGATATTCTAAAAAGTAATATAGGTAGGTGGAGAGAAAGAGACAGATCAGTGATTCCTTGCTCATCGAGTCTACACATAACACACATACCAGAGATATGGAAGATATTATTACCAGTCAAATCAGGGGATAATAAGTAGTGTTAAAATGTATTCAATTCACATTATAACCCTCCAAGAAGTTATTTATTTTACCAAAAAAGTATCTTATTGACTAACAACACTCGCTTTATTTCCCATCCTATTATATCTTATTGATAACACTGATATTATTTCCGGATGTGCTTTGTTTCATATCGATTTTATTCATATGTCTAATCAGTTTTCACTCACGCATACAAACGAAGGAAGAAAGTTGTGAGTACCTTTATGTGATTATGAGCGATAAATTGTGCTCGAAACGTCATCAGTAAACATGACTGTATAACACACTATGTGATTTTATCAAAACAAAATTCTATCCCAAATGGAATCATACTCTACCAGGATCTAAGTTTAATCCTCATATCAATAACACTGACAGGCAGATGGTAGTCTACTGTCTTAACGAGTAAATCGAATCGAAATTCCCTATATCGCCTATTAAGTGATAACTAGTGCATGATCAAGCATATAGTCGATATGCTGCATTTTGTCTTTTACAGTTGGCGCTAAACAAGCATAATGTCAGGAAATGACCATCCTTCTATTTTCAAACAATTAACGGCATTAAGCTGCTAGGAAGGTATGTAAAACAATTCCAAGTCAGAGAGACCGGTTTTTCGGAATGAAATACAAGGAATGTAAATCTCTACCAAACAAGAATAGGTGTTATTTAATCCTCACATAAGAATGAATCTACAGAAGAAGAAGTGGCAGGACACAGTCTTTAAGCATCTTCTGCTTATATTTTGTAACATTCCGCAGATTCGACAGGCACAATATATCAAGTTGGTAATGTTCCAGATACAAGTTGCAAAATAATGCTACTTTTTCATTTGGACCTGGTGGGAATTAACATACTTATTCAATACTGAAAGTTGTCTACACCTCGTAAAACCAAATTACTCGAAACTCGTTATATTTTTCCATTATTTACCCTTACTATTTCTAGGGAACGCATTGCAATGATTTCTCGAAATAATCCTTATAAAAAGTAAACAACTCACCTTGGCCTTCTTTAACTGTACGGGCAATATTACGCAGTCGTTGAAGCTCGTTTTTGGCCCGACGCTCCTTTTTAGCTTGAGACAGTTTGGCAAATTGATCCTCATATGGATCTGATGAAGTATATTGTAAACTGTTTAACATTTGCGTTTACCTGCGTTATCCGGGACTTCCAGTACCCATTTATCTTTTAAATCATCAATCCTATCTTTACCCCATCTTGGTTTCCAAGACTGGGATACAGGATCCCAAACTTTGCGTGACTTCTTCCGATTCTGAATTCCTTTCAAGCGAGCGAATCTATCCCATTTTGTCAGTTCTTTAGTCGTTGGTATCTATGTGAACCTGTAGTAGGACAAACGTGAACCAACCTTTTTCTCTCTAGGTAGACGGAAAGTGGGTTTTGGGAGCTGCAAAAGAAGTCGATACGGCACATACTATTGTTTGTATTGAGTGAATTCACATAGAAAATCATTTTAAGGCACTAAATTATACTGTTCGTTTACTTAAGAAGGTTCAGTGGCTAAATGAAGTAAAAACCGCTGATTACTCCTATATACAGTAAAGAGAAATTTCCCTGTGACCAGTCATTCCACGACACATTGGTACAACTTAGAAAACACTTTTGATGCTTCCATCAGCTTCAGAAGTCAAAATCCAGATTATCGTAATGAAACGCAAGGAGAGGATGTTATTAGTAACCAGCTAATACATACAACGACGACTACTGAAGAATTTATTTCAATGAGAATTATAATCAGCCTTATGTTGTTTAATGACAAAACCAACTCAAGTGGAAATCACAATTAAGACTGCATTTCATAATTTAATCAAGCTTAAGTTGTCAACGGCACAGATTCTAACCGCTATCAGACACGTAGTTTTATATTTCAGATATATATTTACTGTTTTCTTGAATAAATGGAAGTCAGCTTATCAGCTTCATGCTATCCACAACTACAAATCTTTATGGGCAATCAAAGGAGTATAGAGAGAGTATATTTCACTTATCAAGCGACTACTCGAACTCACTAATAAATGTGCCCCTAACTGACTTTACAGACTTAGCGATTGATTTTTTCCCAAGTTACAGTCATCAGGTTAGTACAAGTAGATGATATAAAACTTCCAAGTAACGCTGACAAGATGTAGTCTTCTCAGCACCTTAGACATGAGTACACCAATAAAAGTGTAGGTAAATGTAAACGGTTACACAAAGATATTGTACACTGGTAGCAATAACGACACATATATGTTCATAAATAACCTGCTATAAACAATCGTCTTGGTAAACAAAAACGTGTCTTACATTATTAATCCCAATGAACTAACTAGCAGTAATAATGATGCGACTGAACTTTTAGCTGATACATACTAGAAAGCATCCGCATCACGAACTTTACGGGTTGGTTGATGCAACTGCGATGTTGGTATTGTAGGACTTCTAGTCGTTGATTTCTTGCACTTTCTTTGTCTAGTCATCAAATAATTCCGTTTTTTTAAAAGAAACACTGTACGACTTTAGGAAGTTACATAAAGCAACGCCACACTCAGTAGTTGATTTTGTAATCAAGAAGACTACAGGCGAGTTACCCTTCTATTCACAGAGAAATATCTCAAAAGTTACGCACCATAACGGTCTCTCAGTAGTTTTCTCAAGAATTTATCTACATCACAGACATATTATGGAGCGAATTTAGAAACTATCCTTACAGAACATTTAAGGTAACCATATTATATAGTGAAATTGAAGCGAACTTTCATAAACACAAAGTCGTTTACTAAGGAATATAAAGTCAACAACGCAAATACGTCTAATTCTTTTATTATTTTACAGTTATACATCACAATACAGTTAATACAAACCTACCGGTAACACAGCAACAGATATATGCTAAGTTCATCTGCAGACATTCCCGTGGAATAGGAAACAGCTAAACCCTAACCTTATGGATTTCGGAATACTGTTTCTCCCCATTACCAATTATGATAAATCGACGCAGGAAATGGAATTCGAAACTGAGAACTCATATTAGGACGTCTGCAATCCAAAAGATTTAGAATGTATTCAAGGACGACATTGACTATTTATTGGACTCCTGATTAATTAATTTGTATATTTTGAAGTAATTTTATCTGAGTGGGGTAGACCATTAGTTACCCAGACATTAAGTAAGACTTTTGAGTGGCTTAACTAATACCTACAGTAACTACAGAGTAACAGGAAGATTATAAGGATCAAGAAAGAATAAATTGTAAGTACCAGACGTATTCAGAACAGAAACACTCCATATATACTTCGAAAACCCTTGCACATACTCCTTAATCACGTCGTCCAAATACTGTCTGTTAAAGGCGTATCAAACGAGTATGTTACGCCAGTTATAGCCCTCTACTGGTATTTACTTAATCTACAAACTCACGAAGAGCTGTCGTTACGAACGACAATAGCAACAAGTGCTTCAGTGTGACAGAACGCAGGCAAGACAATCTGTCAAAAACTGATTTCCTAGCAGAAAACAACTGTCGCTGAGAGTATTAAGAACACGTGGAAAGAATAGTCGAAGTTGTTCACCCAGGCTTGACTACGGCTAAAAATTAGACTACACAGGATTTATAAGGATCTAATTCAACCCACATAAAACAATTCGAGAGGCTTAATCCATTTTCATTCTGACAAACATAAGGCAGGGAAAAATTGGAAGTGAAGAAAAAGTACAAAAATGATACGTCTGTTAGATCTACTTTGAAATTCTACTCACCAGTGAAACAGTAATGGAGTCACTTTTCTCCGTTGGTAACTAAAACATCATAAGAGTAGACACAAGATTACCTCAAAAAAGCTTTTGAAAAAGTGACGAGTGCATTCGAGAGAGATTGAACGAAGACAATCTTCATCTATTGTCGTTCCTAACAATGAACTGTATTGAAAGGGATCTAAAGACTTTACCTTCAGTGTAATCATTTAGAGGACATTTATCTTCTACCAACAGATTTCCCAAATCTATTTCAGCGAACTGTGTTCTGTAAGACATCACGGTAGCGCCGAATATGAACAGTGTGGCTATTTGTTCAATTTACAATTTTCCGTAGACCTTAAGAAACTAAGTTTGTTTTGTCACAATTCAGTATTGCGCATGAGGAGTATTATCATCTTTAAAAAATATCAGTGAATTTGCAGCATTTACTGTTCATTTACTTCTGGTTAAGTCTTCATTTACTATCATTTGTATATCAGAATTAACTTGAGATTTCAGAAGCAGATTCCAGATTTATTGGTTAAGGACAGAAGGCTTGCAGCCTATGTTAATCCTTTTCTAGTAAATTTCTTTGGTTGTTCAAACCGTTCTTGAACGAATCAGTTGTGGTTACAAACGCCACTTCTTCTGGAAGTCGGTTGCATGAGTTTATGACTCGGTGTGAGAACCAGTACTTAACAGCAATATGATTTCCTCTTAGCATTTGAACTCTCCTGCTATGTCCTCCAAGGTGTTCCGACTTCGTCGGAAAGAAAAGAGAGAATAGGTCAGGTCCGTAGTCATTATTTAAAATTTAAACATTGTAATTAAATCTCTCTGCCTACGGATTGATAGGGAGAAAAGATTTAAACTTTCTAGTCTTTCCTCGTATGATAAATCAGTCATGCCAAGAATCATACATGTTGCCTTTCTCTGGACCCTTTCTACAATATTTGGGTCCCCTATGAGACAAGGACTGGCTGTCTGAATACAGTTTCCCAATCTTGGCCTCATCATATATATATATATTAGGAGTTGGACATACCTGGTGATCCTAGCAAAGGCCCTGCTGAAGCCCGTAAGGATCTGAAACTACGCGCAGTCACCGCGCAACAGTGTGCTGTAGTTTTTAAATCGTGACCTACTATGACATCTAAATCCAAATGAATCTGAACTGATGGGAGTGTAATTCCCTCTAGTTCGTAAGAGCTGATGCTTGCTTATCCTATGCGCATGGTTGCACATCTCGTTACATTGGTCTGGGGCATCCATTCTATGAACCACTCTAACAATTGTTGAGGTCTTCTTGTAACGTTCCGTTCAGATCTCTCCAGATTTCTAGGTCGTCTGCACATAAGACCATAAGGGAATCAGTGAGCAGAGATAAGTCACTGACATGCAAAATAAACAGGAGACGTCCGAGTACCTTGCCTTGTGGCACCCCACTACTCACTGCTGTCCAGGAAGAGAGTTCCGAGTTGATCCTGACCCTCCACCTCCTATCCATGAGGAATTTCTTAATCCAGTTTACTAAGCTGCCTTTGATACCAAGACTTTCCAATTCTGTGGGGAGTATTTTGCGGGGAAATTTATCGAAGGCCTTGCTGAAGTTCATGAAGACGACGTCCACGGGAGAGGTTTCCTCGGAAACCATGCTGTGCTCTGGATAACACTGTTATTTTCCACATATCCCATAGTACTTTTCTTGATGATTCTTTCCAGCGTTTTGATTAAAGTGCTGGTGAGGCTAATGGGTCTGAAGTTCACTTACGAGAAAAATTTTTCAGGCTGTTCCCTTGCATTTTGAGCCAGATATTAATTGGCGGATTTCTGCAATAGCTTTGCTCCTAGCAGCGCTGTATAATCTTCTGGTCTCAGGAGTCTTATGTGAGGCAGACGGGTTCCAACAATGTGTTTACGTCTTTTTAGCTTGCGAATCTCGTGGTCTATCAAAGGGGGGGCAATGTTTCCGACAGTTTAGGACAGACCTGAAATTTAAGGTTCAGTTACTTCGGCATGCAGTTGCTTAAACTGGTTCTATGCGGCTTCTACTCGGGACTCTGGGTTTATGTACCAGTTCAGTGAGTTAGCTGCGGAGACGATCGCATTTATATCAGCTTTTCAAATGCTTGGTCGAGCAGGGGTTTTCGCTCATGATACTGATGTGTGAACTTGAAAGTGAGCACAGCGTGATCACTTCTGCCTAAGGAAGAAACATGTTGTATGAGATCCACATCCTCACAGTGGGAGAAATACTGTGAGTCATGGCGCATGGGCTTCATGACCCGTTGGACTAGGGCTAGCGAAATGGTAGATTACAGCAGGTCATGATCAATGGGGTTGACTGAAGATGGAGTTGTGAACCTTGTCCAGTCAATTGTTGTAACGCTGAAGTCGCCAACTACGAGGCCTTGACATTTCGATGTTCAGGAGCCCAGTTTCTCTATTGGGAATTCATCTGCACAGCAGTCAGGATCGCAATTATGTCAATATTTTAGCCTATGCATTTAAGTCTGCGACATATAAGTTTGCACGATTCACTTTCGTGAGCGAATGTTTCGATGCTACGCACGGTTGAGCATGTCTTGAGGTAGACTTGAGGTATGACTTATTATATTCCTACTCTCTGAAGGGTACGGTTGTGCACTAAATGCACAAAAAGGTATAAAACAAAAACAACTGGCACAACTGAGGATAAATGTATTAAAACCAAAAGTGGACATCATGATAGTACGAGATATACGTGTAGCATTATACATTGCAAATGAACGTTGTCAGCCTAGGGAGTTTCCTTTATTAATGCATTTATAAATGATACTTGCACTTACCTATTTCATTACAATTTAATGATTCACCTCAGCACTTTAATTTTTCTAAAACAGACTTCCATCCCTTGTGAAAGTTGTGCTTACCTCAATATTGGTTGGTTATCGTATGCCTACAACCCCGGGATGAAAACGAAACGAAGTCGATTTTCCCGCTCAACCTGGAGGACAACTGTACAATTCAATAACTATACGGCCTAGTTCAGAAAATGAGTGTATTATATGTATCAAATATTTAACAGTTGAAATATGATTAACTTGTAGACAATCTGAGATTTGAGACTATATCTTACTTGATCTTGCCTGTAAAAAAAGGCATGCATTTTCATGTAAATTTGTAAATTTGTATGAAATACATTATTATTATTATTATTATAACAAAGTCACCTCCTTTGTGCCTTAGTCACTTCACCCTATACACTTCAAAGCTTGGCAGGTTAACTTCGTTATCAGTGGCATCAGGTGTGAGCCATGTCTCTGTGATGATAGTTACATCCGGATTACCGGAGTCTATTATAGTACCCAGCTCAATCCGTTTTATCAGCAGGCTGTGGGCATTTGTGTAGCAAACTGTCAATTCAGGTAGGTGTTTCCGCAGCCTACCCACAGGGGTTTCAGGATCATCAAACCTCGAACTCTGACGGCTCGTAAACCCTCAATCTTAACGACTTTTAGGCGTGTTAGAGTGGTGTACTTAATTCTAGAGCCTCAGACAGTCCTTTGACGCCGTCTGCCAGGCATAAGTCGGCACTGGCTTATGTGCCTGATCTCTCAGAAATTGGGAATTGATCTGAATGGCATCTTTCTCTTGTTTGGAGTTTAGTACCACTTTGAGAAGGTGTGCCGGCGGATTTGCTGTCAAGTTAGGCCTTTGGCTGATACTATATAGGCCATGTATGGTTATGCCTGGTGCTGTTCTTGCCTAGCTATGGGGGGCTTGTTCAAATGAAAGTCATGCTCGAACCTGACCTATGGATGTGAAACCGAGGATTCTTCCAATTTGTGGAAAATGAGCTACACGTCAGAGATACCAGGTTTGTTTTCTGTGGCTTTCTTACTCTACGGTGCAAATGTCTTGTCGTCCTTCGTGGACAGTGGGGTCATGATACTATCCTTATCTCGCTTTTTGCCGGGGACTACATCACACCACTCACTGGCATCCTCCACGCTAACCGTAGTAGATTTTATCTGCACCGATGTGGATGATGTTTGATCTTTAAGTCCCTAGGCGACTTTAGCTGGAGGTGTTCGACCCCCGGTAGTCTTCTTCTTCGTGCCAGTCTTTCCACCACTGCCGCTAGAAGGCTTACCGGGTATCGTAGAGGCAGCATGTTGTCGGGAATATGGTGGCTGCTTTTCTGTGCTGAATGGAACTCACTCTCCGACAGAGACGCATCTGGAACGTTTATTGTTTTGTTGATGATGCCCGTCAGGTCACCAGTGTCTGAGGAGTAGTCGCTCTTCTCCTATGGCGTCGGCCCCTTACAGCTCAGGTTCTTTAGAGGCCTGCTTGCGTTGTACGGAACTTAGTTGTTCTACAGTTGTCACTAGGCCAGAGGTTTGCAGCAGCACTTGAATGCTGCAGGGGCTAGGTCTGTGCACATGCTGTGAAACTTCTATTGCAGCCATCATACTGCATTACTTCTTCATCTGGGAATTGGCATGTTACTCTTCCGCAGCGGTTCTTCTTCACATGCACACTTTTCAGAATGAATTGGGACAAAGGGATTCAAATATGATCTCACATTAATCTGACCTTTTTAACAGGTGATAAAAAACCAGTGAGGGTGCAGAAATTGATGTACATAACCATGAAGTTTTAAGAACACAACTTCCTATAATTAAATAGACTCAAAACTGAAACGTAAACTGATTTCCGTCAGAACAAACTGATTTGAAATTAATCTACAGACTTCTGGGGCCTATAACACAACGAAAGCCGAAGTTAAACAAGAGCGTTTAAAATTCACTTTCTTCTCAAAGTTCGCGCGCAGGACTAAAAATTCCTCGGGTTATTTGTCTATGACACTAAAATCCTTTGTCTATACTGAAACGTAGTGAAACTTCACCTTGAGTTAATAATCAGATGTCTAGTAGACTACAGAAGTCATAGACTATGTCATCTCTCTCGTCTAAAGATTTCAGCTTGACCAATACCATATTCAACGAGTCAGTAAGTGTTAACACTGTGTTTTGTAGAAGTAGGTTTCAACAATTAGCTGTTTGACGGGCAATAAACGCTGCTGCTACATATATATTGCACTAAGCTTTCAAAACTGTGTCCATGTTCTTTGAGTTATTCAGAGAAGATGGTTGGTAAAATACAAAAATTCAGTTGTTCCACATTGCAGCTATTCAAAATATTGCTACAAAACCTGGTGAATAACGCAACCACCTTGTCAGTCACGTCCCGTAAATCGTTAATGCCCAGCTCTTGCTACCCTCGGGCTCACGCTGTCGCTTGAAGTTTCT